AAGCAACAAAGGAAAAATTACAAATCTAAAATGTCTGATCAACTGTAATCTTTTTAACATTAAAGTCAAAATTAATTTTTGAAACCTTTACAGAGGAAGCTGATGGAGTCCCTGATCACAGCTCCCTACACTACATGTTGGGTCTCAACCTTCCCTTTGACAACCAAGACACTGCTGAGGGCCAGGAGAGTATCAAGACCATGGTCAATGCCATCCGCAACAAGCTGGTACAACAGGTGAGAAAAGATCACCTAATTAATGAAGACGATTCAAAGTAATTTACCTCCTTTCCACTAGAGGGAACACTTGGTTTTGAGTGCACATGGAGATAACTGGGATTAACACAATTTTGCAGTGAATAATATGGTGTATTTGTTTATATGTGAGTGTGGTTCTCACTGTTTGTCTTTCTTTCATGCACAGGGTCCCTGTCACATTGAGCTGCATGCAGCACTGGACATAATAGCCAGCTCTCAGCAGAAACTGGGAGAGAAGTTCACAACTTTCTATCTCCCCAACTGTGATAAGCACGGCTTCTACAAGGCCAAGCAGGTGAGAATTTTAGGACTTCACAAAAAAGAAAAAATCATCCCCCCTGTTGAGAGAGATTCGTCCTTAACTACCGGGTGACTTATTCATGTGGTTTCCCCATCTCTGTTTCTCTTCCAGTGTGAGTCATCTCTGGTTGGGCCACCCGCTCGCTGCTGGTGTGTCTCTTCCTGGAATGGGAAGAAGATCCCTGGATCGAGTGACCTGCTGGGTGACTCAGAGTGTCATCAAGAAGTCGCTTACTGAAGGATGGACACTGTTGTCACTTATAAACACGCTCACACACACACACAGGCACATACATAAACACACGTAGACACAAGCAAACGTGTGTCATAACTTAACATCCGGTAAAAGTGTAAATCAACATGAAACCACCTGATGAACTGACAAATGTAACATCCTATTTCAGAGGAGAAAATTTCCTCTCATTTTATTTACATGATGTATGTATCAAGACTTATTTATTCAGTGCTTGTATATTCTTTCTAACATTAACCATTTGTCATTTTTAGATATTTTATATGTTTGCCTATTTTTTGTGATTGTAAATAGGGCGACACTGTATACATTTGTGTTTCTGACTAAATAACTCCATTGCTCAAAACCACAGGTCCAAAGTTCTGCCAAGCCCATTTCAGTCTTCAGGATCTTTTTTTTTTTATTCATTCAAAACTGGAGTTGTGCACAGCACGAAACAACACAGCCGCTCATTCATTCAACATTGTTGACATTGTCTGAATGTATCTCCATTGGCGTTTCCTCAATGGGTATTGGGGGAAATACTTAAAGTGCCGCAAGTATGTGCTCGGTGGCCACGCACAAACATATCAGGACTCATCCAAGCCACCGTGAGGTTTGGGATAGGTTGTTCTGCATTTGTCTACCTCTACTAGTCTCTGCAGGTCCACAGGTTTAGGATTACTGAGGGCTCTTCTCAGCTACACCTTTCTCATATTAGAGACTTTTTATTTGTCTTTTTTGACCCATCGCATCTATTCAAGTATTTATTATGATTCACTCATGTATTTATGCTTTTGTTTGCTTTTGAGCTTGTGTGCAATGGGATAAATTGTTTGTGAGGAATGCTGCTATTTCATTATTGGTTTTATGGAAACAATGTAATATTCTTCTAATTCTGTGGATGTGTATTACAATTAAAATGTTATTTCATCATGATGGGGTCATGTGTGAATGTGTTTTTCCGCATCCAAAATGGTGTTTCAAACACACTCAAAACAAGAGAAGATGAAGATAAGTAAAAATGAAAATGCAATACCTGGATAACTTTATACTGCCTTTATTAAGTAAAAATAGACCTCTGAGGGTTGCATTGTTCATGCAAATAGTGTATTTACTCAAACCAAGGCAAGTGATGAAAATGATCACCGGCTACACAGAGATCAGAGATAATGGTTTGTGGCCTTTATCCCAGAAATTCAGCTTATGCAAATTGACAACAAAACAGTAACAACCACAGTACAGATTAAGGGAATTGTCCCTCTTTCTGTGGCTTGAGATCCAGCATAAAAAAAACTTAATACGCACTGTAGTGTTCGAGCTGCACAGTCCAGTCCAACTCCCAGAGGAGCAGGACGCGACCGGAAGAAATGGAATTCATAGGAATAGGAATTCATAGTAAGGCACTGCATGCTTAGTCTGAAAGACATATTCATACATACATACATTTTATGGTTGTTGTTGACCCCCCACAATGTCCTCGTAACAAATCACAAGCATACAAATTATGATTACACATCACAAGCGTGTACACATGTGCAATGCCGCTTAATTGTGCGTAAATGAAGAGCACTCTCATCAATGTTTGTGACAGGTACGAATGTCTCCGCGTTTTATAATCAGAAGAGGGCTTCTGAGATAAAGTGTTTCCTCTTCTCAGAAGCTGTCCTCGTTGGGTCAGAGACAAACAGCTTATGAAGAATCCATCCATCGCAGAAATGTTCTGACTGTATCTGTGACACGGAGGCTTTTTCCTCCTGGTACTCTTCCTCTGTTCTCCATGCTCTGCCTCAGAAAAGGTCCCGCAGGCAGCCAATAGAAACATCCATAAATCGGCTGAGCCATCTCTTGTCCCTTCTCCAAATATCCTCAGTGTCTCCATTTGTTTACAATTCTCCTTGCTCTCACTCCCACCCTCCCTCCCTCCATCCAGCTCTGCTCCTATTGGCTCTCGGAGTTGTAGTACTGGGCGTCTCCTCGCTCCTTCCCATCAAAACCTGGCAAAGGCTGCCCATATTTGTCCACACACCAACAGAAGCCTCGCTTTCTGCCTTTGGATGGACGGCACTGAAAGTGAAGAGGGGACAAGGTGAAGGGGGGGAAGACAAATGGGGGATTGGGGGGTAATGTGCAATGTGCAAATCCAGATGAATATACAGCATTACAGGTAATAAGCCACTTTACTCAATGAAGTAGAACAGCAATAGTTAAGAGGCATTAATGGTCAGATTGTGCTGAGTAGACGCAGCCTTGGTTATCCAACACGCTGTGGTATTTTGAGCTGCTTTTATGGTCTACCTCCTGTTACACACACATATAGAGACCTTTAAGGTAAACAGAAACCTGGTAAAATATTTGCTTAGCCCCGTTTGTGAACAACTGAGAACCAAGATCTATTTTCAGAAGCTGGTGGCCAGTGCGAATCATCTGTTGCTGATTATACCCCACTGCTCCAAATTATGGGTACTACAAATGACTTACAGAGTCTGTGGAGCTACCCAAGGGCTGTTATTTTACTGCCAATTTTACTAAAGGTCAACCTCCACTCTAGTAAAACATGCAGCCATTCATTTCAAGGGCTAAAGTAACTGTGCTGCTGCTCCACAAAGGAGTCAGAGCTGATCAGGAAGGAAGACATCCGGATTTAGTTCAATATTTCAGAGGGGGTTTGACTGAGAGGCTGAGCTGAGCTGAAGTAGGACTCCATTGTTGTCAGATCACCGTTGAATAGGAAATACAATAGATCATGCCATGTGTTGAATTTTAAAAACTCATATATTATCTTCACAACATTTTGTGTGAACATAAGGGGTTTAAAATGTTGGCTGTACACAAAAGTATCACAAATTGTTTGGTAAAGAAAACAGTGATCAAAACTAAGCAGTTTACTGAAAAAAAGTGCATCTGCTTCCAGCATTAAATCTGTCCTGGGTAGTTTTTTTTCCTCTAAAAGAACATTTACTGTTATTAAGAGCTGTAATAAGAGATGTTTTTACTTAAAATCATGCAAACGTCCAAATTAAACTGACCAACATAAAATATCTGCCACTCCTTCAGCGCCTCAGGGCTCAGTGCAGTACACTAGGTCCATTCTACATAAACAAAGACAATAAGCCTGCCGTTGTGGGGCTGGTTATGAGATGATTGCGGGTCAAGGAGAACACTTCCATTAAGCAGGAGGGACTGATATGTTATAAGAAAAGCTGCCTCGGTGATGCAGTGGCGCGGGAGCCCTAAGTGCCTCCATATGAATGCGTCAGAACCACTCATTTATTACAACCCGATCGTGGGTGAACCATGTGAGCGTGGGGATAGCTGCAGCTCTATTTTTGTGTTTGCTTCTCAAAAGTCCAGCAATTATGGGGGGAGTGCATCGGTTGCCGGTGGCCACCTTGACGTCTGTCTCCCTGGGAGGGTTCCCATTAAAAACGGCCATCGTCCCGGCCGTCAACCCCACTGGGGTTTGGCCCCTGTGGTTCCTGTCTCCAGTGCCAGTGGCTAGGGTCTACCTCACTGGTGTGGTGGTGCAGTGATGAGGCTCTAATAACTACCAATGAATACAGGAGGACAGCTACAAATCTGTAATTGTGCTGCGCGAGCCCTGAAGTTTGAGTCACTAGACTTCAGCAGTTAATCTTTGTTAATGCAACATGTAAAAAGGGAAATGCTGGTTTCCTTTTTACAGCCCTTCAAGATTGTAAACAAGTTTTTATCAAGCAGATGTTTGAATAATGTGCAGCCTCTCATGAAATTGATGCACAAATCTATATTTTAGTGATTTTAGAATGTGCTTTTTTTTACCTGCTTTTTCTTATAGAAGCCCTTCTTGTCACAGTTAGGTATGCGGAAACCTCTGGGGTTGAGAATGTCTGAAATCTTGAGGCTGCTGAGAATGCTCTCAATCTCTCTCCGACAGGGACCCTACAGGTGAGGGAACACATAGGCAGTTAGTGTACTTTCTCCAGTTCTTAAACATCTCCAGCACAAACTTCAAGAAAAATCAGAGTGCAGCTGATGTTGTTAGCACATGCTATTTCGTTTTGCAGTGTGATTTTGAGATGAACTCTGTTTTTTACTAAAGATGTTAACAAAGCTGACTCACGCTGCATCACACACTGCTCCGCTATAATACCTAAACAATGGTGGCTGCGATATCAAAGGGGCGACGGATGAGAAAGTAATTCATCTGACCGACTTGTAGTGGCTTAACAGTTTACGAAATCTGCTTAGAACTCTTATGCTTTACACAAAGAATGGGGGATAAAGTGAATTCAAAGAGCTCAAAGAAGGAGCCAAAAGGCTTGTCCTCAAGTCCAACTACTCCAGTCACTAATCAAAGCAACCAGTCAAAGCCCATTACTAGTGTGTGCTCACTTCCCTGGCCAAAGACTAGATCAAAATAGCAGCAGGGCTTCCCAACAGGCACTCACATAGGCCAATCCATCATTCGCTGGCTCCCAATACACCCGGCACGCGGACGCCTTGTGGCCAAACAACCGCCTGACCCAGGTCAGCCGCAGGGCCATCGTACCCGCTCTCTGCCATGCCATTCTACTGCTCACGATGCCTGCCAACCATCAGCACCACTACCCAAAACATTTCATCACCCGCAGGGGGAGAAAAACACCAAAACACAGAGGAAGAGGAGAAAAACATTCCTCCAGTATGGTCTGAAGACAGTAAAATATTGGTTGTGGTACTTACATACTCAGGCTCCTGTTTGGTCTCTAGAGAGAAGTTTTGTTGGTCTGTGATGAGTCGTCCCGGGAGCTCCTCCATTTTAAAGCTCTGGCTTCTCTTCTGCTGCTCCCTTCTCAGGACCTCTGATTTGGTAGAGGGGAAAAAGGATGGAGTGGAGGTCTCGGGGTTGCACGGGTCTGTGGGTGCTGTACGAGGTTTGAAGGCCTGAGCCGGTGGAATTCCTCTCCTCGTCCTGGGTCTCAATATTGTCTGCTAAAGTTTCAGAACAAGATGTTTATTTACACAACAGTACACTAGGATATAATATTACATTTAAGGAAGTTTGTTGTTTGTTTTTTTTGCTGGATTTCTGAATGCTGATTCAGACATAATGATTTTTTTCAAAAGCATTTCCTGAGATGACAATCTGCAAGATGACAACCACCACTTGATTCCAAATATGTCTGTACCTTAAACCTTGACTCCCTGTAGTCCCTTTCCCTTATGAGTACAAGCTAAGTAGTTACACTATCTCAGGGTAGACAAAATCAGTCTAATCTGAAAATCAGCATTTAGTCTTTGCTAATGGCTTTAGCGAGGTCCGGATCTTCAGCCTGAGCGGAACACCTTGAGTTTCACCTCTCCTTCAAACAATCAAATTCTTACTAGGGCTCTAAAATCTTATGCTTCAACCTGTCTCATCTTCCACATTCTCTTCCCATGAATGAAGAGAGGTTGTGAAATCAATTAGCGTTTTCAGCTGGATGTAGTCTACTGCTCTCATTGTATGTCACTTGATTATCACTTGTGCATCACAATAGACACATCCCCAAAATTGACATAATAAATTTCTAACTACTGCTCTGCTGCTTATCACCACGTCTGACTTTTTGTTTAAGCTTGTAACAGATAAACAAATAAATAAATAAATAAATAAACTGTACAGTTATTGCACATTGATGCGTGTATACAACTCTTTAAAAACGTTATTCGTCGTTAATAAACAGTTATAAATTATCTAAAGTGCGCAGGTGACGCATAGGCTATAAGAAAGTGCACGCACAAAAACTACCTGGCAGTTCGTTGACTGGAGGTGTTGGTCTGGGGATAAATCGCTTATTGGTAGCGTTTGCACAAATCCCCCGTCCCTCCAGTAGAGCCTGCAGAGGTTTCGTCTCTCCGGGCTGATGCTGACAAGTCAGTCCGGAGCCACATTTCCCGGTGTACACGCCGCACGGCTGGCCGAAGCTCAGCGC